CTCAAACTCTGTTCTCCTGCTTCAGGCCAACACGGCTACCCATTTAAAACATAATTCAGTCCGGTACAAGTCAGAACTCACTTCATCTGATGCACGAAGAGATGTACAGGATGAAGTAAACTCTTTTCATTACACACACAATGCCTACATATATTAAAGTGCTAATTGCAAATTGGTTCTACATGAATAAGAGAAACTCTTGTCCACAGTCATCTAGCTACAGAATCTAGTTGAACTTGTTATCTTGTTCGTATGTAATAACAGTAGTTTTTTATTAAGACAATACTAGTGGTAAACATATATGATACTCTGTATGTAAAATTATTGAAATATGTTTTATTGTTAAAATGCCAATAAAAAGACTTAAAAATAAATAAATAAAGGTGCCACTGGACTCAAACTCTGTTCTCCTGTTTCAGGTCAACACGGCTACCCATTTGAAACATAATTCATTCCAGTACAAGTCAGAACTCATTTCATCTGATGCATGAAGAGATGTACAGGATGAAGTAAACTCTGACTTCGGTTCACCTTTCAGGTGCTACTGGACTCCTGTTTAATTTTGCTACAACAGCCTAAGACAGGGGTCCCCAACGTGGTGCCCGCTGACACATTTCCCGGCGCCCACCAAGTGTTTTTAGAAAGTGGGCGGAACCAGGTGGGGGTTTCCTCAGCCAGGCTTCTGACTGGCCACTGGAGATTTGATTGGCTGTGCAGATTTCATAAAATGCTTACGCGGCAGCTGCCACCACAGTACCAGGATCTTCACTGTGTGACTGATGGTAAGCTGTGGGAGCCGTTTTGTGGCTGTGCCTACCATGTCATGCTAGAAGTCCAAAGGTGCCTACGGGCTCAAAAAGACTGGGGACCCCTGGCCTAAGACCAATGTTCCCTCTAAGCTGTGGAGTCTTGTGAGCAGAAATTCTAATTTGTGAGCTACTGGCATTAAAGTTGTGAGCGAGCCATTTGGCTGCTGTATCAATCAGTTTGCTCTGGAGCCATCCTTCCTGAGCTCAGACAAAAATGTGTGAGCCGGAGGCTAAAAAACTGTGAGCTAGCTCAGACTCACTCAGCTTAGAGGGAACACTGCTTAAGACAACTAACCCATCTGGAAATGTCATAGTAGAAAGGCAAACTCAGATGCTCTTATTACAGGGAGAAAGGAAACTTTGAACACACCCCTGGGAGGAAATTTCGAACTGGGGTCCTGCGGAGAAATACCTCTGAGTCAGAAGTAACGGTTGTGCTATACGAACTGCTGCTGTCATCCAAGTCCCACAGCTCCATGTGACTAGCAAGACCTCTCCTGCTGGAGTCTGAACTCTGGATCTCAGAGCCTCAATGGAAGGGGTTTTGCGACTAAAAGTTAAACAGTCCAAGGGCTCTGAATGCCTCAAGGAAAGAGACAAGCTGGAGCAGCCAGCCAGAAAGGCCAATGATCTCTGTTTGTGATATCATTATATGATCACTGGTGAAGAGACTGATGTCACCCATCCAGGACATCCACGGGAGCTTGGACTCAACATTGTTCCTGAGTGCCAACTAAGCAAGGGGGTTGTATTTTATTTTTTTACAGAACTGCTCTGAGGTTGCTGAGGTCAAAAAAATAGGACACAAATCTTAATAATTTAAATAACAGCAGAAACAATACACACAGGAACACACCTATACCTAGGGTAGCCAAATGCCAGGTGGGAATACACGAGAGATCACGGGAAAAACAGTCAAGAAACAAAATACAGCCGTGATCTAATTACGCAGTGTTAAGATTGTATAGTCAATTATATTGTCTACCAAACATGTTCATATAAATATAAGCATGCAAAGGTTATAATGGATAAAAGGTTTAAATAAAGATAACAACAGGGCAACACAGAGATATTGCAAGCTACAGCAAAGAACTTTACACTGAGATGGATTGAAGTTGGTTAACAGAATTCTACAAATAAATCTGACAAGATTGATTTGACTGCCAGCCAGGTTTCCCTTGAGAAAGGGCGGAAACAGGGATCTTTAGCTGGCCCTTTGGAAGCCTTGACAGTTGCTACGCTTGGACTAAACATACACAAGAAGAAACTGATATGGAAATAATTAGAACTGAACTTTGGCACGAGTACTTTATTTATTTAGAACATTTATCCATTACAACCTTTGCATGTCTATGTTTATAGGAATGTGTTTGGTAAACAATATAACTGACTATATAATCTTAGACTAAGGGCAGTATTTTGGTCTAATTTCAGTTAAGTATTCTTCAGAGTAGGGCTATACATCTTCTCTCAACAATATTCATTCCCAGGACTTATAATTAGAAAACATGCACAGAGAGAGCGAGAGGCAGCTAGGTATGCAGATATACAAGTAAGAATAGGTATAGGTAAAGGTTCCCTTGCTCGAAAGCCAGTTGAATCCGTAAAGGTTCCTTTGCTCGAAAGCCAGTCGAATCCGACTCTAGGGTTGCGTTTCAAAGTCGAAGAGCCAGCGCTGTCCGAAGACATTTCCGTGGTCGTGTGGCCGGCATGACTAAACACCAAGGCGCGCGGAACGCTGTTACCTTCCCAATGAAGTGGTCCCTATTGATCTACTTGCAATTTCTTGCTTTCGAACTGCTAGGTTGGCAGGAGCTGGAACTAGAGACGGGAGCTCACTCCGTCATGCGGCGCACTTGGGTCTCAAACTGCTGAACTACCGACCTTCCACAGCCTGCAGTTCAGCGTCTAAACCACTTGAGCTACCGCAGTAAGAATAAGGAACTGGAATTTAACTCTCCCCCCCCCCCCCCCCGGGAATATTGGTTTTGACTCAACAATGATAGCCTTTTTAAGAAATACACAGGGGTTCCTTCTTGCTTTGTTCAAGAAGCTTCCTGGGATGTCCCCAGCTGGAACTAAAAAGAAGGGCTGAGCCCCAATTCGTCACAGAACTCGAAACATAACAGACTGCCCTTCTGGATAAGACCCAGGGTCCGACTGGCCCAGCATTCTGCTCCCAACAGCAACCATACCTGGGAAGCTCCAAAGCAAGATCTGAAGACACCAACGCCACCCCCAGCACAGGGTTGCCAGCTTCAGGTTGGCAAATACCTGGAGATTTTGGGGGGGTGGAACCTGAATAGGGGAGGTATTTCAATAGGATATAATGCCAAAGAATCCACCTTCCAAAGCAGCCATTTTCTCCACATGAATTGATCTCTGTCACCTGGAGATCAGTTGTAAAAGCAGGAGATCTCCAGCTACTATCTGGAGGTCGGCAACCCTACTCCATCAACTGGAGTTCAGAGGTACACTGCCTCTGGACATGGAGGCTTCATTCCTGGCTCATCATAACAAGAATCCTGGCTGGGCAGGGTTGGGATATTCCTGTAGATTTGGGGGTGGCACCTGGGGGAGTCCGAAGGAGTCTCAGAGTGGCTTACAATCCCTTTCCCCTCCCCTCCCCACAACAGACATCCTGTGAGGTAGGTGGGGCTGAGAGAGCTCTTTCGAGAACGGCTCCTGAGAGAACAGCTCTGAGAGAACTTGTGACTGACCCAAGGTCACACCAGCAGCTGCATGTGGAGGAGGAGGAGTGGGGACTCAAACCCGGTTCTCCCACATCAGAATCCGCGCTCCTAACCGCTACACCAAACTGGCTCTTAGTTCACCTGGAGAAGATGACTGCTTTGGAAGGTGGACTCTTCCGGGAGAAGTCCAGGCCCCACCTGGGGGTTGGCAACCCAAAAGCCCAGCATCCAGCCAGATGCTTCCAGGAGGCCCCTGGACCCAATATGAAAGAAGCAGCCAGGCGTAGACTGCTCCTGCCCAAGGCAGCTCGGCTGAAGCCGCCATCACCGCCATCCCCTCCCCACACACCTAAGCCCCTCCGTCTCCAGGCAGCCGACCCCCGAGGTGGAGGACCCCGCCCGCCGCCAACGAAGCCGGAGCCGCGGAGACCGCCCAAAATAGCCGGCCGGCGCAGCGGTTGCCACGGCAACCGCCAAGCGGGCCCGAAGCAGCGCGCCGGAAGTACGGCCCGGCTACTGGCGGAAATGACGCGCAAGGCGCTGCGCTGCAGGCTTCTGGGCCAGGTCGGGCACAGGTGCGTTGGGTGCGGGAGGTCGCTTGCTCCTCGTTAGTCCTCCTTCCTCTGGTAGAGACAGCAATATTAAGAATAAAGAATTAATGATAATTAAACCGGCTTGCACTGGATGGGGGCTGCTCGGTGCGGGAATACCCGAAGGGCGACGAAAAGACAGCGGTGGGAGGATTGCAGGTGTTTCCTCCTCCTCGGCTTTTTAAACCGTTCAGATACTCCTGAATGGAAGGGCTCAATATAATGCTCTGGGGAAGGACCACGGGCAAAATTGTCCCTATTATGATTGCAATAATGCGGGGGGTTTGTTATTTTTTATTTTATTTATTTAGGCATTTTTACCCCGCCCTCCCCGCGAGCGGGCTCAGGGCGGCCCATACATAAAACCAGATAAAACAATGAAATCATGAATAATAACAATAATAAAGTGCTTTCTGAAAACAAGAGGGTCTTTGAGTGGTTTTGATGGCATCAGTCATTTCCTTAAATGCTTCCCTTGGGGTGATACTGTCCAGTAGATAGTTCAAGCCAATCCCACAATATCAGTGCCATACAATTCATGGTGGAACTTCCAAGGGTTCAGGTTGCCAACTCCTGCTTTGGAAATACTTGGCAATTGGGGGGGGGTGTACTCTGGGGAAGGGAGGGACCTCAGTGGGGTATAATGCCTATCAGTCCACCCTTCAAAGTAGCCATGTCCTCCAGGAGAACCGATCTTGTCATTTGGAGATCAGTTGTAACTCTGGGAGATCTCCAGCCCTCACCTGGAGGTTGGGAACCCTAGGAGGAATACAAGCACTTGAAATCTGCTTTTATGGCCTCTGCTGCAGGGCCCGAGGAGGAAGTGTGTGTGTTTCAGACAACTAGTTCTATTTATTTCTTTGCCAGACTCTGCTGCTTTAATGTCAGTCTATTCAAAGCTGTTTTTACTGAACTTTGCACACAGCCTCAGGGTTCGATCTTCAGACAAAGCACCTGTCAGCTACTAGGTGTTAAGGAAGACATTTGTGTGCTTCAGCCCCTGCAGAGCTGCCACCAGTCAAAAGTAAAAAAATATTGAGCCAAATGGGCAACGTAAGGTCAGCTTCATGTAGAATCAATATGATAATTCCATTGTGGTAGCTGTGGTAGTCTGTTGTAGCAAAACAATGCAAAAGTCTGAATCAGCATTTATGTACATTATTTAGAGTCCACTTTTCTCACAGGGACTTAAGGCGGATTACACAGAGTGAGTCAGTATAATCAGCAAACTGGGTCGTTCGATAAACAATGCCCTAGGATTGTAGTAGTCTGGGACCAACCAGAAAGAACTGAAGCATAGCATACATATCAACAGGAGACATTAAGCAGTGCAAAAATTACATAATAGGATCCTCCTTAGAGTAAGCTGTACAGAGCAGTAGAAGAACATAACATAAGAACATAAGAGAAGCCAATGTTGGATCAGGCCAATGGCCCATCCAGTCCAACACTCTGTCACACAGTGACCCAAAATACCAGGTGCCATCAGGAGGTCCGGCAGTGGGGCCAGGACACTAGAAGCCCTCCCACTGTTGCCCCCTCCCAAGCACCAAGAATACAGAGCATCCCTTGCCCCAGACCGAGAGTTCCTATCTATACCTTGTGGCTAATAGCCACTGATGGACTTCTGCTCCATATGTTTACCCAATTCCCTCTTGAAGCCATATAGACCACAGTCCCTAATAATTTGTCCAAGTAAGCTTGTGAACAATTTTGTTCAGTGCAACCCTGTTACCTGTGCAACAAAGCCCTGTTGAATTCAGTTTTTGCACAGTTTGCAGAAGCCAGGAGAGTGGGAAGTCTTCACTAACGTTTGCTCTTCTACTTTGTGTTTCCAGAAAGGGAGGCGGTTTCTCGTCAGTGGTGGTAACAGAGCTGCTCAGGAGGCTTTGGAATCCCCAAAAAGCCTTTCTGGCACGTCTGTAACTGGGGATGGCTTGGGACATCCAGTGAAACCAGCTGACCATTATTTTCTTCCTCCTCAAGGCTGGGCCACCATGACATCCTTGCATCCTCAGAAGCGCTTCCTCCTAGTTGGAGAAGGAAACTTTTCCTTCTCTGCCGGTTTGTGCGAAACGAGGGGTGACGAGGCTCATATCATCGCTACCTGTTATGAGAGTGAAGATGTCGTTTCCGGGCAAGAACTTGCTAAAACCAACATTCGGTATCTGAGGGACAGAGGTAAATACCCCCTTCCCACTTGCTCTGAAACTTCTGATTGCTGGGTTTGGAAAGCCATTTCCGTTGGGATCAGTTGAAAAAGAGACTGTTGTGTCACAGTTTGGTGAACCAATGTACACTTATTGCTGTGGCACTCTCTATTCTGGGTAGGGGAGGGAAGACTAACGAGGAGCGACCTCCCTCCTTCCCGCATCTCTGATTAGAAATGATGTCAGAAACCTCCACCTGAGACCATGGAGAGCTGTTGCCAGTCTAAGTAGACAATACTGACCTTGATGGACCAATGGTGTGATTCAGTAGAAGGCAGCTTCATATGTTCATATTTTGAACTCTGGGATTCTTCCTCTGATCCTAAAGGGCTGTGGGTTTGCTTTCCATGTCTATCCCTATCTTGATGCTAAGGGTCTATTAAAATCTGTCGTGCGTGGATGAGTTCTTGTTGTTTTAAGTAACTCACCTTTTCCTCTTGCACTCTCCAGGAGCTGAAGTTCACTTCTGTGTCGATTGCATAACACTGAAGGAGCGGTTTTTGCCAGCAGAGAGGGATTTTGATCGCATTTATTTCAATTTCCCCCATTGTGGGAGAAAAGCCGGAGTGAAAAAGAACAAAGAGCTTCTGGCCAGGTTTTTTTGTAGGTAAGGACCTGGATAGCCCAGACTAGCTTGATCTTATCAGATCTTGGAAGCTAAGATTTAGCTTGGAGAAACGACGACTGAGGGGTGACATGATTGAGGTTTATAAGATTATTCATGGGAAAGAGCAGGTAGAGAAAGAGGTACTTTTCTCCCTTTCTCACAATACAAGCTGTTCCCCTTTTATACCCTTCTCCCCCCAGTCCCTCAACCCATTGGACACCCAGGTGTCCATCACCGCTAGTCCCGCCTCCATATAAATGCTCAGACGCCCAGCCAGGGCGGGGCTCTCCAGTCCCGTCCAGTGCTGGGGTGTGGCTTGTCGCCCGGAAGCATAGCGTCGCCAGACTGCCCCAAAATGGCCGTCTCTGCTGCCGTCTGCGTCCCCTCAGGGCCGGCCCTCCGGCCGCGAGCCCGGGGGCGCGCCCGGCGACCGAGGGGTTGCGCCGCCGATCGGCACCCCTCGCGGTCTTTCTCGCCCCCTCGTGGACTGGCGTTGCCTGCCCGTCCGGCTGCGGGCTCGCGGCAGACGCGGTGAGTGGGGTGTGTGTGGCTCCGGCGTTGGGAGGGGGTTCCTGGAGGAGGCCCGGGGCGTCAGGACCGGGACAGAATTCTAGGGTCGCAGTGCAGAGGCAGGCAATGGCAAACCATCTGTACTCATCTCTTTCTTTGAACACCCTCCAGGGTTGCCATAAGTCATCTGCAACTTGACATCAATTCACACACACACACAAGGACCAGGTAAAGTAACTTAGGACACTCTTCTGTTACTGGGGATGTGTGTGTGTGAGCCTGTTCAGTTCAGCATCATTCAGACCTTTGTTGAACTTCCGTCCAACTCTCTTCTCAAAAGAAGGTATCAAAATGAAGCCATTAGGAATCAGATTCATCAAAGTGTGACAAATAGCAAATACATCAGAATAAGTGTTCCCTCTTAGCTGAGTTAGTGTGAGCTGGCTCACAGTTTCTTAGTCTCCAGCTCACATGTTTTTGTCTTAGCTCAGGAAGGATGGGCTCCAAGCTAATTTATACAGTACCCAAATCGCTCACTCACAGCGTTAATGCTAGTAGCTCACATTTTGCTCACAAGACTCCCCAGCTTAGAGGGAGCATTGATCAGAATGTATTTCTTTTGCACAGACTTGTTCAAGTGAAATGCTTTATGCTGAACCTTTGTTTTTGGGCCTGCTGTGGTTGGCAGTTTTATCCAGTACGGTCAGGGGAAACACGTCTGGGGGCTTCAGGGAAGGAGGGGAAATGTTACAAGCTGCAAACCAAAAGCTCTTCTGTCTGGAGTAGGGACCTCGTTTATACAGCTTTTCTGATAAACTTGCCCAGTTCTGGCCTCTGCAAGGTATATGATAAGAGGAAAGTTGCTAAGATTCAGTGAGAGAGTGCACGTGACCAGTTTGATATCTATTTGAATCTCTGTTCTAAATACACGTGACCAGTTGTTTGATATCTATTTGAATCTCTGTTCTATCCATTGTAAAAATCTTTAAAAAAAAATTCCATTACAGGCCAAGTAATCAATCGATTATCTGAATAGTTTATTTCCTCTCTTCTGGAAGTGTAACTCTTACATTCTTCTCCTCCTGCATCCTTAAAAGCAAAGCCGTTCAGAGGCTTCTTGGGATCAGACCAAGGATCAAGCGAACTGCTGAATCCTGCTCCTCATGTGGCTGTTTTGTTCCAGCTGTGCAGAGGTTCTGGCAGAGAAGGGAGAAGTCCATGTGGCCCTTTGTAGGGGACAGGGCGGTACCCCTGCAGACCAGCCGAGGAGGGATTGGCACAACAGCTGGCAAGTTGTTGCTATGGCAGCAGAGGCGGGATTCATTCTGAATAACGTTCATCCATTTAGCACCAGGGATGCTGGCGGATATAAATGCACGGGCTACAGGTAAGCTGTAGATACTGCACAGCAGTCGTTGGGACTCCAGATGTCCTTTTAGGTGTTGCCATAGTAACTTGGGTCTTATTATCTGCTCCTGCCTCTTAAAATGATTTTTTGTTTTCAAGAAATTGTGTGCATGTGGCTCTGGAGAAATGCATATAACGCTCTGTTATTTGGATAGCGTAAACCTGAAGATTACTGCTATTTAAGTTATTTTCCCTCCTCTGGTAATAGAATCTATATTTTATGCATACCTTAGGTTCTCTCCCTCCTATTAATCTTATGTAAATTTGGGTAAATGGGAAGGTAATAGCAAAAGACTAGAGAAACCTGCTTTGAATTTTGAACCAGTCTCACATTTAACATCTGTGATTATCTCTCTCAGTGTGTGTAATTTTAATTTTCTGTCTATTGTTTATGCTACTTTAAACTGTCAGTTCCTTACCTCAGACCACTCCTGCCTTATTTCTATTTAGGAGTCAAGATAAATCTTTCTGTGTGGAAGGAGCTTTGAATCACATATTTACCCGGAGTCTGCCACTTTTGCTTCCTAGACCTCTGATCTGTCAAACAGAACTGGAAGGCAAATTGGTTTCCTTCCGGGTTCCGGAGATATTTCGAGATAAGATCAACAGGTTTGTAGCTGAATTTCTAAATCTTGTCAGTTTAACCATGTACAGCGTAGTCACTCTATTGATGACTGTGATTTTAAGTGGAAATCAAGCAGTCTGAAATTATACCCATCATGGTCCATTCTAAGACTTCTAACCTAAACATATTAGATTGGATATAAGATCTGTTGATTTCAGTGGTATTTACTTACAGATTTGCATGTTTAGGTTTGCAGGTTAATCGTAATCCGTAATCTGCCTTGAGTCTTAATGATAAGGAGGAGGAAATTGGAATTTTACCCCGCCCTTCACTCGGAGTCTCAGAGCAGCTTAAAAACTCCTTTCCCTTCCCCTCCCCACAACAGACACCCTGTTGTGGTAGGTGGGGCCGAGAGAGCTCTTTCAAGAACTGCCCTTTCAAGGACAGCTCTGACAGAACTATGGCTTGCCTAAGGTCATCCAGCAGCTGCAAGTGGAGGAGTGGGGAATCAAACCCAATTATCCCAGATCAGAGTCCGCGCACTTAACCACTACACCAACTATAAATAACTAAATAAATGATTGCTTAAGACTAGTAAATGTTTTTAAAGATGGTATGATGTAAAGCAGGGGTCCCCAACGTGGCACCCACCAATACCTTTCCTGGTGCCCACCAACTGTTTTTCAAAAGTGGGCGTGGCCAAGTAGGGCTCCTGCCAACAGGGCTTCTGGTTGGCCATTGGAGATCTCATTAGCCTGCAGAATAAAATAACATCACTGCAGTGAAAGCTGCCAGTGCCACCACAGTATTGGTTTTATTCTCTCTCACATTCGTCTTTCCCAGTGTATTTTTTTAATTACTTCTCATATCCCTGCACTTGGTCCGTCTGTCTCTGTGTTTGTATGTTTGGCTTCACCCCCCATGGTGGCTATTTTTTTTGTTGGCTCCACCTTCCACAGTGGGAATTTCATGATTGTGCTCACCACCCAGTGTCAGAAATCCAAAGGCACCCACAGGCTGAAAAAGGTTGGGTACCCCTGACTGCGGTGGCTCAAGTGGTTAAGACGCTGAACTGCAGGCTGTGGAAGGTCAGTAGTTCAGCAGTTCGAGACCCGGGTGCCGCATAATGGGGTGAGCTCCCATCTCTAGTTCCAGCTCCTGCCAACCTAGCAGTTCGAAAGCAAGAAATTGCAAGTAGATAAATAGGTACCACTTCGGTGGGAAGGTAACAGCGTTCCATGCGCCTTGGTGTTTAGTCATGCTGGCCACATGACCACGAAAATGTCTTCGGACAACGCTGGCTCTTCGGCTTTGAAACAGAGATGAGCACCGCAACCCTAGAGTCAGATTCGACTGGCTTTCGAGCAAGGGAACCTTTACCTTACCCCTGACTTAACAGGATCCTCTGTTGCATTCGGGGTTTAAAAAATAAGTGACCTTGGACAAGTCATTGGACAAGAAAGATATGAACTTGATCTTAGCCAAAAGGCCAAGAAGCACTACTTTACACTGGGAGTGATTAAAATGTGCCGCCAGAGGTTGTGGTGATGGCCACAGGAATAAACAGCTTTAAAAGGGGATTAGATAGATTCATGGAGGATAAGTCTATCAGTGCCTACCAATGTTACCTCTAAGCTGTGGAGTCCTGTGAGCAAGAATTCTTTTTTGTGAGCTGCTGGCATTAAAGTTGTGAGCGAGCAATTTGACTACTGCATAAATTAGTTTGATCTGGAGCCATCCTTCCTGAGCCGGGGGCTAAGAAACTGTGAGCTAGCTCACACTGACTCAGCTTAGAGGGAACACTGGTGCCTACTAGCCATGGACACTGAGGGGAACCTCCACATTCAGAGGCACTAATCCTCTGGATCCCAGAGCCAGGAGGCAACACGAGGGGAAGGCCATCCAGAGGAACTGGTTGGCCACTGTGTGAGACACGATGCTGGACTAGATGGACCACTGGTCTGATCCAGCAGGGCTCTTCTGATGTTCTTAGGAAGGTGTGAATCCCAGATAGGTTGTGAATGGAGGCACAATATTTGACTCTTATCAGACATCCTGGTGCTACAAAGGAGGATGCTGTTTGGGAGATGCAGGGCCATAGCTGTGTTATTCTGAGGCAGAGCAATTGACCATAAATCGTCCTTCAGAGAGATTCAACAACAAAGAAAACTGCAGTTAACCAGATGGTTTCGGTTTTAAGCACGTTCCTGTTCTCCTGCTTCCCGAGCTGACTCAAGGTCTTCTCACACAATCAGCTCTTTTCTAAAATCTTGTGAAGTTTCCTACCAGTTTACATGCAGCCAAACGTATTTTTGTTAGGTATTCTTAATTTTAAAGTAAATCAGCAGAGTATTAAAGAGGCAGAGTCCATGGTGTGTTTAAAAGAATAAAAGTTTACTACAACCTAGCATGGGGGAAAGGTACACGGGATGTAAAATAACAAAGAGCTAATATGCCTACATCCTTACAGCTAGACTGAAAATGGCAGAAGAGAGGGGCTTCTTCTCCTTGCTCAGAACAAAGAACCACAAGACGGGAAGAGAAGCCATAAAATACTAATACTTGGCACTTTGGTCTCCAATCAGAACAACAAACTAGATCTGAACTTCCCGGGCTTTCTAACTGTCCAAAACAGATTGGATACAAACAAACATGTGACTTAACAAACATAATTAACCCAGTAAATACTGAAAAGTGTTTTAACTTGTAACACCCAACAATTTTACTAATTAATATCAGATCTTATGGATTAACTGATCGGTATGCCATATGAATATGAGCGTGCATGCATGTCCAGGGTAAACGAGATGCACAAAAATCGGACTGATTGTCTCCTTGCCCTACACTAGTAACGATGCTTTCCTGTTTTACTATTTGAAATTAGGGGTTTCCTGGATGTGAATTCAGAGCATCCCGTCAGAACAGTAAATGAAAAACTCCTCGAAGGACTCGGCAAATCATTGCCCATTCGGAAGGTGAACCGCCCCCTTTCTTTGGTGTTCCAAGGCAGCGGCAATTCCTCTTCCTGCCTGGATGCCCTTTGGATGGTTCCTGTTGCTGAAAGAAATCCAGATCCTGAGTCAGCAGCTGAGAAGAATATGAAGGAGACAGAGACCTTTCCTTCGGGGTTTCCTGACTGGGATGGTACAGACCAAGGGAGCAGCTTGAAAATCAGGGACTGGTTCTTGGGACAGTTATATCTGCGACCTTCCCTTCTGGTTTTTCTTCCCACAGTAGTGCAAGAAACAGAGCTTCCCCCCGAGACGCTCCTGGCACTCAGTGGGCCCGTCTTTAGGAAATGCAAGATCTCGCCTTGTGCTCTGCCCGTTTATCACGAGGCCCTCTTCATCTGTGTAGTTGATAAAGGTTTGGGAGATACACGCATGCAGTTTTTTGTGGAAAACCTTACTGGAACGTTAAACCCTTTGCTTAAGGCTACGGGCTTTAAGTTGGGTTGCACAACAAATGAGCCAGATCCAGCCAGACTCGGCGCCTTCGTGCCTTTCGAACCGCAGCTCCACAAACCGAAATATTTAATTGCTCTCGAACTTGACGCTTCTGATCCCGAACTGAAAAGCTGCTGCCTGGGGACTGTCGGCTTAGTTCCCTGGCATCCGACAAGCATCGGTCGGGAAATTGCGTATGCCTCACTGAACCTCGATCTTCTAGCCATGCACGTAAGCGGCATCTGCGACTGGCGGATGCTCTGGACCTCTGACGAGCGTTTCCTTAATCAGTTTTCCGCAGGGAATTTAGACGGCTTCAAGAGCTTCTTGCTCTATCCGCCCTCCTACGTGCATGACCTCAGCTTCTGGGTTCCAGAACCAGAACGTTTTAACGAAGCCCAGCTTCATGCCATTGTCAGGCACGTGTCTCGTGAATTGGTTGTGTCCGTCCAGCTGCTCGACAGGTTCCAGCACCCGGAGACGGCACAAACCAGCCTCTGTTATCGGCTCACTTACCAGTCTTGTGACAGAGCTCTGACAGGCCAGCAAGCCGCAGCGATGCAGTTGAAGCTCAGGAAGGAGACTGTGCGTTCCCTGCACGTGACTCTTCGATAACTCCTTATCCTCGCTTTCATCTCCACGGACGGGTTTAGCCAGTGCTTGTAATTCAGCCTGGATGTGGAACATCTGGATCTTGTGTAGGAGAGGACTTTGATCCAGAGTGTTATGTCAGGTCAAAGGCTGTGGTGGGCTTCAGTGAGGCGTACCTAGAGTTTTGGTCTGTACTGGGGCAAGTAAATAGACTGTGTCAATTTATTTATAACATTTGTTAGCTGCCTTATTACCTTGTGGAACTCAAGGTAGCTTAGCGTACTTCCTCTGGTACTGCCGGGAGTTGATAACCATCAATATCAGTGTTCCCTCTAAGCTGAGTTAGTGTGAGCTAGCTCACAGTTTTTTAGCCTCCTGCTCACACATTTTTGTCTTAGCTCAGGAAAGATGGCTCCAAAGCAGACTGATTTATGCAGTAGCCAAATTACTCACTCACAGCTTTAATGCCAGTAGCTCACAAAACTGAATTTTTGCTCACAAGACTCCACAACTTAGAGGGAGTATTAATCAAGATTAGTAGCCTTTGATAGCTCCATGAATTTGTCCACTCCCCTTTGGTGTAGTGGTTAAGTGCGCGGATTCTAATTTGGGAGACGTGGGTTTGATTCCCCACTCCTCCACTCGCAGCTGCTGGATGACCTTGGGCAAGCCATAGTTCTGTCTGAGGTGTTCTTGAAAAGAGCAGTTCCTGTCAGAGCTCTCTCAGCTCCACCTACCTCACATGGTGTCTGTTGTGGGGAGGGGAAGGGAAAGGAGTTTGTAAGCCGCTCTGAGACTCCGAGTGAAGGGCGGGGTATAAATCCAATCCTTTCTTCTCTCTCTCTCCTCCTTCTTTTAAAGCCCCCCCAGGTTAGTGGCCATGACCACATCCTGTGGCAGCAAGTTCCCCAAGTTAGCTATCTGCTGGGTGAAGAAATATTTCCTTGTGCTTCTCCTGAATCTCCCACCCTTGTGTCTGTCCACTCACTCCACACCATGCAGGAGGATCCCCGAAGTCGTGGGCACTGTTCCCTCTAAGCTGAGTTTGTGTGAGCTAACTCACAGTTTTTTAGCCTCTGGCTCACATATTTTTGTCTCAGCTCAGGAAGGAGGGCTCCAGAGCAAGCTAATCTATGCAGCAGCCAAATTGCTTGCTCACCACTTTAATGCCAGTAGCTCACAAAGCAGAATTTTTGCTCACAGGACTCCACAGCTTAGAAGGAACATTGGTCATGGGGCTCATGGACAAAAAGCGACCGGTCATGGGAGGGCTGCAGTGACAGGGGGAAGGGGTGAAATAGCCCGCCTCCTTCTGCGAGCACAACCTGCTGACAGCGATGTGTTTGCTTGCCCTGAATGGAAGCAAAGCTCCTCCCGTCATTTGCTCGACTAATCAGTTTGCCTAATAAGCTGTTCTCGGCACTGCCCGCACCTGTAGGCGGCACAATGAGGAAAGAATGCGAGATGAAAGCCGGAGCCATTTATAGCCGCCACCCTCACAGATGCCTGACTGCCCGTGTTTTATTTTTAGAGAGGATTATAGCAGTTGTTGCTCAGACTAAAGCAAGAGAATAACAGAATCCCCAGGCTTCGTTGAATGTTTCCAGCCGCAACGGGGAGAGGAGATGGGACTGTGATTTTGTGGGTCCTGTGCCAGCTAATCAGTTTGGACAGGCAGAAAGCTCAGATGAGACCGGGACTCGTTTCAGCCCCAGTCCAAGTGTTTCATCTGTAGTACGTGGGCCTGCTTTGGCATGCTTGGTGCACAGTTACATAGTTGCTGGTGAGATTGTCTATTTTCGGCCCAGAGGTGCAACCCCGTTTGCAGGACTGTCAACACGGCTCTTCCTTAGAAGTGAAACATCATTGACCACTTCACCATGCCACAAAAAAAAGCCCAGTGCCCAGACAAACTTAACAGTTCGTAAGATGCATACACTGGAGAAGAAAGGAGCCGCCACCCTCACAGATGCCTGACTGCCCGTGTTTTATTTTTAGAGAGGATTATAGCAGTTGTCGCTCAGACTAAAGCGAGAGAATAACAGAATCCCCAGGCTTCCTTGAATGTTTCCAGCCACAATGGGGAGAGGAGACGGGACTGTAATTTTGTGGGTTCCATGCCAGCCAGTCCTTGACCAGCTAATCAGAAAGCTCAGATGAGACCGGGACTCGTTTCAGCCCAGTCCAAGTGTTTCATCTGTAGCACGTGGGCCTGCTTTGGCATGCTTGGTGCACAGTTACATAGTTGCTGGTGAGATTGTCTATTTTCGGCCCAGAGGTGCAACCCCGTTTGCAGGACTGTCAACACGGCTCTTCCTTAGAAGTGAAACATCATTGACCACTTCACCATGCCACAAAAAAAAGCCCAGTGCCCAGACAAACTTAACAGTTCGTAAGATGCATACACTGGAGAAGAAAGGAAAAAAGATAATTAAGGCTTGGTAAGATGCAAATGAAGAGTTGACGCTCCAAAGAAAATTCCGGTGCAAAGACTATCGCTTTCTCCCAGTGCTAAAAACATGAATACCTCTTGGGAAGACGGAGAAAGAATGCCATTGGGGCAGGCAATAACAGAGAGAAAAGAACAATGTTTGAGTCCAGTGGCACCTTGAAGACCAACAAAGTTTAATTCTGGATATGAGAGAAGAAGAAGAAGAGATTGGAATTATACCGCACCCTTCACTTGGAGTCTCAGAGCGGCTCACAAACTCCTTTCCCTCCCCCTCCCCACAACAGACACCCTGTGAGGTGGGTGGGGCTGAGAGAGCTCTTGACAGAAACTGCTCTTTTTCAAGGACAGCTGTGCCAGAGCTACGGCTTGCCCAAGGTCATCCAGCCAGGTGCAAGTGGAGGAGTGGGGAATCAAGCCCGGTTCTCCCAGATTAGAGTCCACACACTTAACCACTAACTCCATACAAAAGCTTATATGTAGAATTCAACTTTGTTGGTCTTCAAGGTGCCACTAGACTCAAACTTTGTTCTGTTGCTTCAGACCAACAGGACGACCCACCTGAATCTACCCAGTAACAAGGAGGAAACAGTATCACATGGCAAAAGCAAGATTCAAGACCAGTGGTACCTTTGTCAGAGCTTTGACTCTCGAATGCTTGTACCTTGGAACTCTTGTAGGTGTCTAAACCGTTACTGGACTTGAATCTTGCTTTTCTTCTATAGGCCAACACAACTACCCCCCGAGACTATGTTCCACTATAGGTATTCTTGGCTGGGCATCTTTTCACACCGCTTGGATCTCCCTAGGTGGGAGCACCTTCAGCCTGTGCTAAAGGCAGTGCACTGGCTCCCAAAAGCATACCGAATTCGCTTCGAGGTGCTGGTTCTTACCTTTAAAGCCCTATATGGCCAGGGTCTGGCATACCCGAGGGACCGCCTTTCCCCAAATCTACCCCAGAGAGTACTACGGTCGGGGTCACAAAACAGACTGACCCTCCCGGGTCCCAAAGAAGCCAGGCTTGCTATTACCAGGGCCAGGGCCTTTTCAGTGGCGGCTCCATACTGGTGGAAGAGAAGAAGAAGAGATTGGATTTATACCCTGCCCTTCACTTGGAGTCTCAGAGCGGCTTGCAAACTCCTTTCCCTTCCCCTCCCCACAACAGACACCCAGTGAGGTGGGTGGGGCTGAGAGAACTCTGACACAAACTGCTCTTTCAGGTACAGCTGTGCCAGAGCTTGTGACTGACCCAAGGTCACATCAGCCGGTGCAAGTGGAGGAGTGGGGAATCAAACCCGGTTCTCCCAGATTAGAGTCCGCACACTTAACCACTACACCAAACTGGCTCTCTGAGCTCCCAGAAGAGATCAGGGCCCTGCGGGATCTTCTACAGTTCCGTAGGGCCTGAAAGATGGAGCTTTTCCACCAGGCCTTTCATTAGGAGCTGCCACCATGTTAACAGCTTTAACTATGACCCTGGCCCTTGGTTCCCGACACCTAGCCTGTGCCGCCTGTTTGTTAGGAAGAACTTGAGCAGAATGCTGGTGAGATCTGTGGACACTCTTAAGAACGCCATCTCATAACAACTAACTATTAGGCAGCACTTTATAAACGATGATTGTTTACCGTTGAACTGTTTTTAGATGATTTTAGGTGATTTTAACTACTGTATTTACTACTGTAAGCCGTCCTGAGCCTGCTGTAAAGCGGGGAGGGCGGGGTATAAATTAGATAAATGAATAAATTTACTCCAACATGGGAAATGAAATGCAAAAAAAGTCATTTTTTCTCTTGCGTGGGTGGGAAAGATTCCCTGCCCGTTACACACTCTAGCTAGCAGTGGTGCCAAATTACATAGCATGGTGTGAGTAGACCGGATCCTGCCTTGGAGCAGGTGGCTGAAGTACATGAACTTCAGGTCCTTCCAATACCCCAACTAGCCTGCAGCCACAGAGGAGCCCTTTATACTGGCTTGTGAATCCACTTTGTACAGAGACAGACCCTTGGTCTATCAAGGTCAGTATCGTCTACTCCAGGAGTATGGTGGCAGTGCTTACTGCAAGAGGTGAAGCCAGCCACAAAATGGCTGCTGCTGCAGCTCACCTTCAGTCACACAGTGAAGATCCTTTTGCTATGGTAGCAGCTGCTGCCAAAGCAATGTTTTTAAAAACCTGCCCAAGTGAGGGCATTTTTTCACACCACCATTCCAGTTGACGTACATGGTTTTTCTCACCTCTCATTCTCAAACCCAGTTAGGAAGGCTGGGCTGAGAGAACCAAAGTAATCCAGGGAGTTCTATACACACGGACACACGAAAATGCCTTACTGAATCAGATCCCTGGTCCACCATAGTCACTACGGTGTACTCAGACCAGCATCGGTTCGCTATGGTCTCAAGTAGAGATCTTCCACGTCATTTACTACCAGATCCTTCTTATTTGGGGATGCTGGGGATTGAACCCGGGACCTTCTGTGTGCCGAGCAGATGCTCTACCGCTGAGCCATCTCCACCCCCCCTCCACTGATGAACCACACCCTTGGTCCCTCAAAGTCAGTATTATAAGACAGAACCTCTGTCCCTGATTGTGTTTGCCCAGGCCAATTTGAGAAAACACACAAAAGCAAGCAGTCCTGTAGAGCAGAATTGAAACTAAAATAAATCTTTATCAATAAAGGAGGGAAGCACGGGCTCAACCAGATTTTGGACCCCACAGCTCTCCCTAAGGTTACAATGGGAGACATAGGGTTTTATACTTCACATTACATCAGAGAAATAAAACAGAATTCTTGGTTCCATCACGCATTGTCAAATTTCATCACCTATTTCCCATTCGGTTAAGACCTGGGGTGGTGGTTATTCCCAGGCAGAGTTCTTCTTTTCCTAACAGAACAATACACTTTTCTTTCAGAAGCTATGAAGCTGCATGTTGTATCTATATAACTGATATGGTTACAGAGTGCTTACTGTTCTTCATTCTAGGTAGGTTAACTCACATTAGAAACATGCGCAGTTGTAGCTGGCCAGAACAAGCAAGGTCATGGGTAGCATAACTGTGTATCGGCATTTCAGCCTTCTTCCCAGCATGCGTTCAAACAACAGTCACAAATGAACCAAAGTTAATACCTGAATACATCCATGATGTTAGAATCATCTGTATAAGTGCTAAGTATACCTACTAAGTTAAACCTGTTAGGCAGTGGCAGAGTACAAAGTGGTTCATAAAATGTGTGTACAACAGTATGGTCTACTCAGACCAGCAGCTGCTCTCCAAGGTCTCCAGCTGAGGTCTTTCAGGTGACCTACTGCCTAGTCCTTTTAACTGGACCCACCAGGGGTCGAAAACCTGGGACCTCCTGCGTGCCAAGCAGGTGCTCTGCCTTGAGCCACAGCCCCTTCCCCCTTCTGTAGTTTATTCCGTGCAAGGCGTTAAAACGCGGGTGTTACAATCAGTGTTCCCTCTAAGCTGAGTTAGTGTGAGCTAGCTCACAGTTTTTTAGCCTCTGGCTCACACATTTTTGTCTCCGCTCAGGAAGGATGGCTCCAGAGCCAACTAATTTATGTAATTGATGCAATCGCCAAATCGCTCGCTCACAACTTCAATGCCAGTAGCCCACAAAGAAGAATTTTTGCTCACACAACTCCACAGCTTAGAGGGAACATTGGACAATCTTCCTGCAACCTCATTGCAACCCAACTGCTGGACCTCCTGAGAGCCCCTGGTCTTTTTGGCCACTGTGTGTGACAAGAGTGTTGGACTGGATGGGCCACTGGCCCGATCCAACTTTGGCGTCTCTTACGTTCTTACGAGAGGCCGTCCAGAACTCTACCCCCTTTTAGTGTCTCTCCCCTTTGCCGGCTCTCCACGGAGAGGGAGACCTGCTAGGACTGCTGCGCGCGCCGCCGGCCGATCCCTCCCCCGCTTCTCGCACGCGCCGCTTCCGCCACCCGGAGGCCGGTGCGGGCCGGCCAATCACGCGCGGCGGAGCTGTCGCCCACACTTATCATGGCGGCCGCTCGCTTCAAGCTCTGACGCGTCCCGGCGGGGCCCCGCCGGGGAGGAGCGCCGCAGCCCGCCTGGATTCCTGCCCACACTCGGCATGGCGGCCAAGGGGCCCCGGCAGCGGGCTCGAGGGGCTGGCGGGGATGTGGCGGCGGCGGCGGCGGCGGCGCCCCCCCGGCAGCGAGAGGAGGCGCCCCC